CACCACTAACTAAGCAGACTCAACCTGAGTTGCCTGTGCCCTCCCTTTTACTGACCACCCTCCATTCGGAACAGACTCAGAGGTGGTAAGACAACTCCCACCTGTTTATGCTCTCTGTATGTGTGTATATATATCTCCTCAATATATGTTCCATTCTATATGCATCCGAAGAAGTGGGCTGTAGTCCACGAAAGCTTATGCTCTAATAAATTTGTTAGTCTCTAAGGTGCCACAAGTCCTCCTGTTCTTCATTACAACTGGGTGTGTATTGGGAAGACACCCACCAGATGACAGGCCATCAAATTTGATGAGCCATCAGGAAGGAACAACAAAACCATGAAGACACTAATCTCTCTCCCTCCTGAGCGGCATCCGGGTATGTAACTGTGACACTACTAGGTCAGGTGATCTTGTCACCTGATACTAAACATTATCTGGGACTTCTTGTAACTTTCCACTGTAAAGGAAGGGGGGTCAAGTTTGGGAAACAAAGGATTCCTGCCTTATGTAAATTCTATTTAAGGGTGGGGAGGAAGGCAAATGGAACTCCTCCTCTCCAGCCTGTCTGCCCAAGAAGAAAGACTGCTAAAGCCACCTGAAGGGAAGGCCGGGGGAGTCCAGACTGAGACAGGGGCCCAGTCTGAAAAGAAATATAACTGGAACTCTGAGCCACAGAAACTTTGCAGCCTGCCTAAAATAACATTTAGGGTAAGAAATTACATTTTTTAACCTGTTTCTTAAGTATATTGAGCTTAGCCTGAGTACTTAGGTTTATTTGCTCAGTAATCGGCTTTGTTCTGGTCTGTGATCTCTTATATTCACTTAAAATTCACTTTTGTAGTTAATAAACTTATTTCTTGTTTATAAACACAACCCGGGGAGCGGGGGGGGGGGGGGCGTAGAAGGAAAGGGAGGCTGTGCGTCCCTTCCTCCACATTGAGGGAGGAGGTGGATTTCATAATATATCTTTGGGTCTGTACTCCAAGGCAGGTGGACACCTGAGGGCTGGGGCAAATCCCTTAAATTGAGCCTTCCCAGAATTAATCTCAGTGTCTGTTTTTTTCTGCAGTTTGGTGTGGCCCTGACTGTGTGTGTGTGTGCTGGAGGAAGCTTAATAGCTTGGCTCAGCAAGACAGGTAAAAAGGGTGCCCAGGTTGGCATAACAGGCAGGCTCAGTGGTATCTCAGCACATCAGGTGGCATCCAAAGGGGGGCAACCCATCATAATCTGGACCTACAATATCTTGACGTGAGGGAGAAAAGCACAGCAAGCCTTGAGAACTGGCCAAAATTTGAGGATATAGATATGATGGGTCGATTTGTCCATAATGCTTGGCTAGCAAACACATGTAAGCATCCCATCCTATCGGACACATCGATAATGACAGTCTTGGATGGAAGAGGACAAGAAAATAGTACCTCCCCCCGCATACTTTTTTTGATCCATCCATCATTCTAAAGAGACTAGAACAGCAGGAGGTACATGGACCAACTTGTCTAAGGGATATCTGTTTGGTCAATAGACTGACTTTAGTCACCCAGGGAAGATGTGCATGCACAGCCTGACAAGTTGGGTCACATAAGTACATGAGGCCATGTGGCCTAGTAACCTCAGACAGGCTCAGACTGTGGTGGTAAAGTGTGGCTCGAGAGAGAGGCACAACTAGTGAATTGTCTGAAATCTCTTCTGATGTAGAAACGCAGTCAAAATCATAGAACTTCTAAAGAACTTGATTGTGTGTTGGGGAAAATGTAGATTTCTAGACAGTTGAAAAGACAAAGGATGAACGTGATGCGGTAGAGAACCTGATGTTCAGATCTGCCCTGAAAGAACCAATTGTCCAGATAAGGGAAAACATGAATTACTTTCCTCCAAACAGGCTGCCAAAACTGCCAAGCAGTTGGGAATAGTGGCAGGGCTAATAATAGGCTGAAGGGAAGTACTGTGTACTAATAACGCTGTCCCACTATCACAAGTCTCAGAGACTTCCTGTGATTTGGTGACACCACCATATGGAAGTAAGCATCCTGCAGATTGAGGAAGCAAACCAGTCACAGCAATCTAGGGAAGGAATAAACACATGCTAGGGAGATCTTGCAAAATCTCAAATACTTGAGATTTCAAAGATCTAGAATGAATCTCAAACCCTCTTGGACTTGGAAATCAGAAAGAATTGTGTATAAAATCCCTTTCTCTGATGTTGAAGGGGAACTTCTTCTGTGGCCCCTAGTGTAAGCAGAATCTGAACTTCTTGAAAGAGTATTGATTTGTGAGATGGGTCCCTGAAAAGGGATGGTGGAACAGTGGCGGGCAGAAATTGAAAAGGATATTCATTCTTACAGTGCTTAGAACTGATTTGTTTGTCATTACAGATTCCCAAACACTGAGAAAATGGAAGGAAGAATGCTGATGACTGTATTGAGCTGGCTACCCCCTGGGCTTCCCGCTTCGAGCCGGGCTGCGCCCACAAAGCTACCAGCTCCCCGCTGGGAGACTGGGTGCTGCCCACGGGGAGACCGGCAGATCAGAAAGAATTGTGTATAAAATCCAATGAACATCGAGCACAGCCAGGAAAAACACCCAATGTTCACTGAAGAAAACAACAAATCAGTAATTTCATAGCAGTAGAGTAAGTTATACGTCTATGAGCTAGACCAGGGGTTCTCAAACTTCATTGCACCATGACCCCCTTCCGGCAACAAAAATTACTACACAACCCCAGGAGGGGGGAATTAAAACCCAAGCTTACCTGAGCCCTACTGCCCCAGGTCGGGGGAGCCAAATCCAAAGGGTTTCAGCCCCAGGCAGGGAGCCTGTAACCTGAGCCCCACTGCCCAGAGCTGAAGGCCTTGGGCTTGGGCTTTGACCCCAGGCAATGGGGCTTTGGCTTTGGCCCTGGCCCCCAGCAAGTCTAAAGCCAGCCCTGGCAACCCCATTAAAACGGGGTTGCAACCCACTTTGGGGTCCCGACCCACTGTTTGAGAACCGCTGAGATAGAGGTCTGTCTCTCCCTCTCTCTCGCCAAGTAAATCAGAACACAGCCTGGTAAGTTTTAAAAAATAGTAATTTAATTTAAAAGCTACAGTCCTTCCACCTTCTTCTCCTTGAAGAGGACTACATACTTAAAAAAAAAAAAAATACCCCACTTAACTCAACTATTACTTTCTGTAAGTGCTTTGGATTTCTTCCTCTTTTAAATTTTTGTTTTCAGGCTACTAGTCAATGACAACAGGTTTTATAGCTTAATATTTTCCTTTTGCTAGTGTGATGCATTTACCTTCAATATAGATGCCAACATTTTACAACTTAAGATATTTTTGGAGTACAAGAGAGCAGAATATAAAAATAGACTTACCCGTTTGAATCTTGACTCTGTGCAATTTGGATGTGAACTGATCATTCACTGTAAATATATGACCATTTTCTATTTCTTTTGATTTAGGCTCTTTTGTGAGAACTCGTTGTGTTGGTTTGCCACATGCAAGGGACTGTAGGGCTCTAACAAGCTCTCTTTCAGGGATATCAGTTTCTTGTTGAATTTCCTGAAGGAAAATCATGACATCATCAATAGTTTATAATTAATGTCAGAACACGTTAGGTAGCTTATTTTGGAGGGGGGGGCGCGCAAAAAACCCCCCAAACCCTGATTGCTCAAAAAGATAATCCTTGGCTCGCAAAACTAAATTCTGATATTTAGATTCTTTAGATGCCTGAAAAGTTAGAATTCATTTAGTGATAGTCTAATAAGCACTATGCAAAAAGGCTTATGATGAACATGGGTTAATTTAGAGAAAGTGGATTTCTTCAAGTATAATTTAAAGTCAACAGCTGCCAGTGTGATGAAGAGAACAAAATGAATAATTAACTGTTAACACTCAATTTATCTCCTGAGAAAGCCAAAAGGGTTTATTTCCATTCTCTCCAACGTTGTTTTATGGAATGAAACCTGAGCTCCAAAGTTACTTTCGTGATCAGTTCAATGAAAAAAGTATACATAGCAATCAAGGAAATTTCTGACAGAAAGCTATCAAAAGTACCTTATCAAGCCAGGTAAGGCAGTTCGCTAACATGAAAAGCTGACAGCCTTACAAGAAATATCAAATATGAGTCTCATCCTGGCACCAGCTTATTCACAAAAACGTGTTTTCTCACCCTCCTGCAGAGTACACTCCTAAAAAAGTATAGAGCTGCTTAAGATTAGTTTTGTTTCCACCTTACACTCAGCAGAGAACAAAACTGACAGTCTGGTCCACCTCAGCTCAAAGTACAACAGATGACATTTGAAAGATGACTACTAAAACATTAGTAGTGCAAACACTGTTAGAACCCATACAAAGCATAAAATTCCTACAGAAATATACCCCAGCAGTGCTTTGCACGCAGTCTTCTAAAGCAGTGTTATCAGCTTATCTATCGAGTCCCTCAAACTTCCATCAAGTGTTTCTGTAGTTTTAGGGCCTCTCAGAGTCACTTGTTGGGAGAAATATAAGCTATGGCATGTTTTGCTGTCTTCTTCATAAAAATGTTAACACTAGTTGGATCCACGTAGAAAGTCAGTGTTCCTGAGAGTTCTACTGAGAGCCATTTAGAAGCTGAGGAATCAATTCTCATTTTCCATTTTCTTACAGATGCTGAAGTTTTGAACTACTGCAATGTGCTTTCGGACTGTGTTAGCGCAACACCTTCACATTACACCTGCCAATACCCAAAAAGCCCACCTCTAGGGTGACATGAAGAGCGGATATTTGCTCATTTCTAGTTTCATTTAAATATAACCACCAATTTGGTTCTATCCAATATTTGTTTATCAAGTTTCAGCTAACATGCATTTTTAAAGACTAAATTACTATCATTTTTGTCTTGAAAAATGAACCTTATTGCAATGGCATAATCAGGACCACTTCAGTAAGCCAAAAGGAAATGAATCTTGACCATATAAATTAATTACTTACAACAATGAGTAAATAAGCTTTTTAATTATTTATTTAAATTTAATGTGTCAAGGCCAACAGTTCCAGCACAGCCTACTGCTGCCAATGAGATTTCAGTCTAACACCCTGATTTCTAATGCCAAAGGATTAAAATCAATCCATCAATAATCATTGCTGTACTTTTCACCTCAATAAAGTATTCTGACTACTGCCACTGAAAGTGAAATACAGAACTAAAATAAAAATTAAGAAACAGTTTTTACGCTATACACCCTTATTAACCAGGCAGTGGGGGTGGGGGGTATTCACTACATACTGTGTGTATTTTAATTCTCAACATTACAGTTCGTCCTTAAACTGACACTTGCATGAAATCTGGTCTTTCAGAAATGCACAAATTGCCTTTAAATAAGCATCACAGAAACGGTTTGATGCTGTGATACGATGAGCACCATCCACTAGTTGACTTCGGTGCGGGTGGAGGGTACTCAGCAATTTGTAGCACAGAAAGGTTTCTAGAAGAAGGGTACAAGAATTACAATTTTTCTATTAACATGAACAACAGGAGTTACTGCAGTCTAACAAAGTTTAAGTCATCAGCATGTTATTTTTACAAATGCACATCTTTTTATAAAGACATTTAATATCTTATAAAGATTTAAAATAGATATTTTTAAAGTGTTCCCCCCCCTCCTTTCAAATATCTGGTATGTTATAGACATTTCATTTTGGGGAGGAAAGCTATAATTACCACCTATTATGCAGCTGAACATATCTAAAACAGATCTAAAGGAGCTGTGTCTGGAAACTACACAATAGGCTGCAATAACTAACAAACAATACAGTGTGTCAAATTCCAGACATCTTAAGTTTTTTTCTTATAGCAAGGAATTAAATAATTGTTTCAACATTAACGTGGTTGAAAAATCCACAGATCCAAAGAATTTTAAATTGTACAGGCTTCACCAACCTTTAAAAGCTCTCCCAATGTGGAAGAGGGGAAAAAAGGAACAGCATAAATTAAGAAGTCAGACTAAACTTTTAATGAACTAGTTTTGCTGAATTATGTAACAATTTCATACATATCAAATTTTGAATTTCACATTGGACATGGTTAGGGATAGGACAAATCTTCAGTTTATATTCAATTTGTGAACAAATGAAGCTTCTGAGGATATATACTTCAAAATATTTAAGCATTCTTCACCAGACACTGAAATAAGCAACAACGTAAGATTTGAATATAAGGAGTAGCCCACTTGGAAAGAATAGAGTAAGTTATTAAGAAAATAAAAAACCTTAAGCTATTCAGAAAAACCTCCCTCTCATGTGGAAGCACCATTAAAGTAAGCCCATTTTTCCCCTCACAAAAATATCCAACTAGTTACACAAAGCCCTAACATATGAACCTCCAACAATTAAAAAGCAAAATTCTTTCCTCAAAATCTAAATAGTAATACTAAAATAAATAAATAAAAATAAATAAATAATACTCCGTGCTCCTATAGTACTTCATCAACTATTAAGTGTCAGCACTGCTCCAAAAGAGAAAGTATTTGCCTTAATTACCACTTATCCAAAATGGGGCTAAGAGCTTAGGGAAATTTAAAAGTTAGAGTTATCAGTGGCAGAGCTGGGAACAGAAGCCTGATTAGACAAAACTCCGTCCTCTTTTGCAAAGGCATCATTTTTTGTTGGTGCCCCTGCTTATCATCAGCACAGAGGGTACCTGAACTTCTTTGGCGTTATGCTGTACTACTGTGTCCTTTACAGTACTGACTTTATAGAGTGCTAAAAGCAGAATGCTGCATATGGGAGCTGGGTCACTCAGGTCTATAGAGTGTCACAGGGTAGCTGGTCCCTGTGAGTAGACCAGAACCAGCTCCTATGTATCAGGGTAGGTGGGCCCAAATGGGCCAATTAAAGGGAGTAGGATTACACCTGGGTCTATACAGACCTATCAGAGGGCAGGGACGGGATAAGTTATTGGGACAGGCTGGAGTGGAGCTAATTCCTGTGGAGAGTCCTTGGAGCAAAGGGCCAGGTACCCAGGAAGTTATCCCTGGTGCTGGTGTTCCAGAAATGAAGCAGAGCTGGCTGGGACTGGGAAGCTGCAAGAAGCAGGATCACCAGAGACTGTGGGAGGGGAGCCCATGAAACTCTAGGACAAGGGTGAGCTAAGGGACTATTTCTGTTTGCTTTATTCACTTATGTTTGGAAAATAAGCCTTCTTAAAGCAGAGGGTGTGGCAGCGTGCAACTGAAAGCTGGGGAGAAGCCCTGGCATACCACAATGAGATTTTACACATACCAAGCAATTTCATGGCTATTTTGGAATGGGGCAAAAATCTCCTGACCCCCATCAAAAGATAGAAAAAATCACTTCAAGTCAATCTAAGTAGGAGACTGCAGTGGCCTCTATCCCTCCTCTTGGGATCTGCCTAGCAATAAACTGTGACCCCACAAAGTGACGAGACTTCCTCGTCCACCTTCTCCTTACATTGGCCAAGATGGCCATCCATCACATTAGAAAAGGAAGCTGGACAGGAGGGTGCTCTATGACTGTGCGGCCTACTTCTGATTGCTCTTTAAGTCACGTCTCTGGGCAGAGTTCCTCTGGGTGGTGTCCACTGCCTCCTTGGATGCCTTGAGGGACAAGGGTCGCTGTCTGGAATTCTCTGCTCGGTGTCTCCCCCTGGATCCCTTATTTCATCCCTGTGACCTGCACTCCTGGCCTTATTTTTTCCATTTGTTGTCCCCCGGATTTAGTTGATGCCTGGGTTTGGTGGCTCCTCCCCTTATGCTCATTGCCTTTAGCAATGGGCAGGGCCACGCCTGCCCACCCAGTGCCTCAATAGGTTCCCATTGTTTGTGGGGACAGCACTGTTAAATCAACAGTCTATAGAAGACAATCTAAAAACTAGAACTCACAGTCCATTTTGGCTGCTGTGGTGATCTCTACCTGTCCACCTTCCAATCAGTACTTGTTACTCCTGGGGGAATTCTGTACCACTGCATGTGTGCAGAATTCATGTCCCCTGCAGAAAAATGACTTTCTGACAGGGAAGCAAAGGGAAGCTGCAAGAACGGTCACGCAGCACTCCCTAGTAGCCCAGGTACATCGGTTCAGGTACCTGGAGCAGGCGGCAGTAAGGTAAATCACCGCAGGGCTGGGGACACCTCAGCCAGTGGCTCCTACCATGAGCTGGAATCAGCTGCTGGGCTCGAGGCAGGAGAGAAGTTGCTGGGGCTGTGTCAGACCCACCCTCAGAAGCCTACCTCAAATGCAGAAAGCTCAGTATCCTCCACTGCTCCTGCCTCCATCATTACTCAGCTGTGGGGGGAAAGGTTACTGTATGGGGAGCTGCTCCCCCATCCACCTAATCCCTGTGCATCCGGACCTTCCATACCCAGACACCCGGGCCAAGCCTCATGCAGTACATCCAGAACTCCCCTACCCTTCCATACCCAAACCCCACCCCACTGAACCTCAAGTCCCTGCACCCAGACCCCCTGCCTCTGGGCCCCCACCTCTGTACCCAGACTACCCCCCACTGAGCTCCCTGCACTCAAACCCCCACCCTGATGCCCCACTCTCTGCACCAGCCTGAGCCCCCCACATCCAGAGCCCCACGCCACTGACCCCCAACTAGCTGCACCCAGACCCCCATACCACCAAGCCTCACTCCCCCAGCACTCAGATCCACCGCTGAGACCCCCACACCCAAACCTCTGCTGAGCCCCAACCACCTTCATCTGGAAGTCCCTGGGAAGTCCCATTGCCCCTGCACCTGGAACCACCCCCAATGATCTCTGTGCATCCAGATCCCCTCCACATCTAGACCCCCCCCCACTGAGTTGCTTGCACTCAGACTGTCCCACACAGAATCCTCTCACCCCACACCTGGATCCCCCCCACACTGAGCCCCTCCACACTTGGATCCTTCCTGGTGAAGCCTGCCTGCCCCACACCTGGTGCACCTGGAGTAGAGCCCCACGGTGTTTCTGGGGCAGACCCAGGCTTTATGCTGTGTCAGGGTTGGGTGCAGCCTCACCACTGAGTCCATGTCCCGGGGGTAGAAGCTGGAGGGCTGCAGAGTGATCTCCCACCTTCATGCAGCCAGTGGCCTGTGCTCCCCACTGCCATGCTAGAGTTTCTGCATTTATTTATTGACAAATAAAACTTGCAGAATTTTAAAATACTGTGTGCAGAATTCCTAATTTTTTGGCACAGAATGCCCTCAGAAGTATACTTGTGTGAAAAAGAAAAAGAATAGCAAACCTTGTGCCGTTGCAAAGGCAACTGAAAAATAAAGTCAGTCTATCAACTTTGTGTTTGGCACAAGCACTTACACATCACTGATGCTTCTATGTTCTGGCAATATTATGCTTTTGTGAATGCATGCACTTACTTTCTGCAAAGTCATGCTATCATAGCACATCATGAGGGTCAACAGAACAAAGCATCACTATTTTACTGATGCTGAATACATTAACTACTATTCAGCAATCAAATAAAGGCAGATTCTTCCTATTCCAAGGTTTGATAACTCAGAATATGAAACATGTATCAAGAACAGCGATTTCTTCAAGGGGGGGGGGGGTAAGACCAAACAAAATGAAATCAGTTTTTTCAATGCTTTAGGTAAGTGGATCCTCATGTTCATGAGAGAGTATTTAAATAAACGGACCCAAAACAATTTGGGCCCCATCTTCACTGGCTGGCTATACTGAATTAAAGCCTTTTAACCTGAAGCAGTCTTAAAACTGTATTTTATACTGCTGTGCAGAATATCATTTCCCTGTATGCAGCTGGGGTCTAAAGGTATATACTTCTAAATCCGGAGTTTCTGGAATAGAGAATGACTAAGGTAATCAACCAATTTTCAACACCTTTAAAGGAAACAAATGGTCAAGGGCCCTGGACCCTTTGTTTAAGTGTTCCAAGGAAGAGGGGCTTGCAGCTACACACAGCCCACACTTTTAATAAGGGTTTCACAGCATACAATCCCAATGGAAACTTCTCTAAGAAACACACACTCCATATGTTAAGGGATTAACAATATGTCAAACAACATTATGGAGCTAAAAACAAAAAGGAAAAACATAAAAGTAAATTATTATGGACTCCGAACTCTCGCTATCAAGTTAAAAAAAGAAGGGTGTGTGTGTGTTAGGGACAAATGAGGTATATTCCTTTGGCATCAAAAGGTCTGTGTACATAGGTCAAGATTTCCTACACAACTTCTGAAAGAGTACAGGTGGATGTATAATACCATAGATCTACATATGCTCTGCATCTATCTGCAGAATACATTTTAACGTTTTTTTAAAGTCAGCTTAGAAAGGCCACAAATCATACCTCAAACGTGTATTTTTCTCTGTTGTTAAAGAGCATTAGTATCGTCATCTGGAAAGTGGAAACTTGCAATATGTGCTTCCTTGTATTTGAGCCAGTTACTTGGGCACCTCCTACACCAACCTCTGAGCCATCTTCCTGTTTGAATTTAAAAGAAGTAATGAAATCACTTTTAGGAATATTTTTTCATCTCCTGATTAAGCTTTTTATGTAGTAAATGGAGAACTATGCTTAAGCAATATTAAGTTTGAGATTTTAAATCCACAAGTCCCAGAGTAGTATATGCTTGGTTCTGATTTTGCCTAACTACTTTAATACACTCTTCAAGTCTTCCTGCTTCTCCTCCTGCTTACCAATTTATCAAAATTGCTGCAGCGAAAATCCTTGTCCCTTTGCTCCAATCAGGCCAGTTCCAAAACTTCTTTTAGTAATCCATATTGTGGGTGTGTCCTAATCCCACTTTTATGTTTTTTATGTTGCAGTTATGCTTGGATTACCTTCTCTGTCCCTATGTACCATACAATCTCTTCCTTCTTTCTAACCTTTGCTTAGCTTTCCAATGCTGATCTCTCCAGCGCTTACTACTCCCCATTTCTCACAAATGAAATTTACTTGTTTTGTTTGTATAATTTAAACTTTAAGATTTCTATATATTTGAAAAGTGTAATTGACAATAGTGGCATTATGAAACTACAATAGGTTTGCCTTGAAAAAAATTTTTTAAACCTTAATTCCAATGCAACAACTGCAGAGAAATTTCACTTTGGTCTGAGTCACAGCCCAAAATAAGGTGGGAGGGCAAGGAAGAACAGCTAGTCCTAAAAGAAGAGGGGAAGAATCTATGGATACACCCAGAGTTCAGAGCCGCAGGAAGATACAGGTTGAGTCAGAGAAGACTGCAGCCAGAAGGAACAGAAGGAAGGCTGGAGAATCACACCATCCCCAGGAAAAGGCAGGTTTCTGATTGGGGACTCCCTACTACAAAGAACAGACAGGCCTGTCACCAAGCTGATCCGGAGAACAGAAGGGTGTGCTGCCTGCTGGGAGCTAAGATACAGGATACGGCTCTGAGGCTGAAGAGGATCCTAATGGGAGGAGGAAAGAATCCAATGATGTCCTTCATGTGGGAATAAATGATACAGCTCGATTCTCGCTGGAATGCATCAAGGGGGACTATGGCAGGCTGGGGAAGATGCTTAAGGAAATGGAGGCTCAGGGATTCTACCTGTCCCTAGAGGAGGAGAATGAAGGCGAGATAAGATGACAATGATCAACAGATGGCTTAGGAAGTAGTGCTATAGGGTGGGCTTTGGCATGTTAGATAATGAAAGATAATGGAGCAAATAATTAAGAAATCAATTTGCAAACATCTAAAGATAGTAAGGTGATAAGTAACAGTAAGCATGGATTTGTCAAGAACAAATCCTGTCAAACCAATCTGATAGCTTTCTTTTACAGGGTAACAAGCCTTGTGGATAGGGGGGAAGTGGTATATCTAGACTTTAGTAAAGCTTTTGATACTATCTCACATGACCTTCTCATAAACAAACTAGGGAAATGCAACCTAGATGGAGCTACTATAAAGGTGGGTGCAAAACTGATTGGAAAACCATTCTCAGAGAGTAGTTATCAGTGGTTCACAGTCATGCTGGAAGGCATAATGAGTGGGGCCCCGCAGGGATCAGTTCTGGGTCTGGTTCTGTTCAATACCTTCATCAATGATTTAGACAGGGGTACAGAGAGTACACTTATAAAGTTTGTGGACGATACCAAGCTGGGAGGGGTTGCAAGTGCTTTAGAGGATAGGATTAAAATTCAAATGAACAGGACAAACTGGAGAAATGATCTGAAGTAACTACAATGGGTCATACTGAAAGTGAACTGTCAGGTTGAAGGGAGGTTACAAGGGAGTTCCTCAGGGATCAGTCTTGGGACCTATCTTATTTAACATTTTTATTACTGACCTTGGCAGAAAAAGTGTGTGCGCGCTAATAAAATTTGCAGATGAAACAAAGTTGTGAGGTATTTCCAATACAGAGGAGGACCCGACTATCACACAAGATGATCTGGATGACCTTGTAAACTGGAGTAATAGAAATGGGATGAAATTTAACAGCGCAAATTGCAAGGTCATGCATTTAGGGACTAACAATAAGAATTTCTGCCATAAGCTGGGGGTGTATCAGTTGGAAGTGATAGAGGAGGACAAAGAGTGTCTTATTTGATCACAGGATGACTATGAGCCGCCAATCTGATGCAGTTGCGAAAAAGGCTAATGAAGTCCTAGGGCGCATCAGGCTAGGTATTTCCAGTAGAGACAGGGAACTGTTAGTACCATTACACAAGGCACTGGTGAGACCTCATCTGGAATACTGTGTGCAATTCTGGTCTCCCATGTTTAGGAAAGATTAATTCAAACAGGAACAGGTGCAGAGAAGGGCTATTAGAATGATCTGAGGAATGGAAAACCTACCTTATGAGAGGAGACTCAAAGAGCTTGGCTTATTTAGGCTAACCAAACACAGGCTTGGGGGAGGGGGGGAAGATATGATTGCTCTCTATAAATACATCAGAGGGATAAATACCAGGGAGGGCGAGAAGTTATTTAAGTTAAGCACCAACGTGGACACAAGAATAAATGGATATAAACTGGCCATCAACAAGTTTAGGCTTGAAATTAGACAAAGGTTTCTAACCATCAGAGGAGTAAAGTTCTGGAACAGACTTCCAAGGGGAGTAGTGGGAGCAAAAAACCTAACTGGCTTAAAGACTGAGCTTGATAAGTTCATGGAGAGGATGGTATCAAACTGCCCCCAATGGCAGGCAGCTGATTTGCAACTGCTAGCAGCAAATATCTCCGATGGCTGGTAATGGGACATTAGATGGGGAGGGCTCCGAGTTACTACAGCGAATTCTTTCCCAGCTGTCTGGCTGATGGGTCTTGCCCACATGCTCAGGGTCTAACTGATGGCCATATTTGGGGTCAGGAAGGAATTTTAACATAGATCACATTGGCAGAGACCCTGGGGGTTTTTCACCTTCCTCTGCAGTACAGGGAACAGGTCATTTGCAGGTTTAAACTAGTATAAATGGTGGATTTTCTGTAACTTGAACTCTTTAATTCATGATTTGAGAACTTCAGTAACTCAGCCAGGGGCTAGGGATCTATTACAGGAGTCTGTGGGTGAGGTTCTGTGACCTGCAATTTGCAGGAGGTCAGACTAGATGATCATGATGGTCTATGAGTCCATTATCATCCTATGATTTAATTAAACCAACAGGTTGGAGAGTTTCAAATTTGATTCAGGATTATAGAATGTATGCTTGTAAGTATACTTCAAACTGTTGCCAAGGCAAGAGTTGAATTAAAAAAAAAGGGATAGATGTATTTTTTTTAAATTGTACTTATGTCCTATACTGGCAGTTTAATTTATAGCTAAGAAAATCCAAAACTGATTACAAATTTATCTTTACATTCACAAAATTTTTGAGATTAAACCATAACACTTTCAGAATACAGACATTTACCTTTTTAACAGGTCCATAGAAGGTGGCATTGAGATCTGCCGATCCCATGTGATGCTGGAGTGTCAGCTGTCGACCGCTGTGTTTGGCTAAATAAAATCTACGAGACAATTAAAATGAAAATTTACATATTTATAATGCACATTTTATGCTTTTATGATCCAAAAGCATTTTACATACATAGATAATTTTGAATTCTTCAGGATGGAATATACTAAGTGTAATGTGTAACAATTACTCTTAAAAAAAAAAGTTAAACTGAGGTTAAGGTCTCATCTGAAATAAAAAAAAATCAAGTAGTGAGTAGTTGGTTTTCTAGTTTGCCCCAAAAAGAACAAAGCAGCTCTCTAATATGCCATTAGTACTCACAAAAGTATATTTACTGTACCCATTGTATTAAAAATACAAAGCCTGATTTAATACATACCTTCTAAATACTTCAAAAGCATGTCTGGGGGCTGGAGGGATGTTGCACTTCGGTGTGGCTGACTGAGTAGGCCAGTAGCCTGTTGTGAGAACCCGCACTGTGAGATCAACACCACCTAATGAGACCTACAACAACATTGGAAGAAGACATTCACCATTTTAAAACAGGACAGTGTTCTCCACTTCTCCTATGTTATAATTAGACTTTCAATTTTTTACTTTCCAAAGGCTAAGGAGAAATTGTTGTTGCCATTCTTTCTGAGCTGCACAAATTAAATTCATTCTTGCTGGAGCAGGAGCCAAAAAGCTCACATTGTTCCCACATGGCAATTTAAGACTATACAGAGTATGATCATGTAAAAAATGCTGTGCAACTGCTCAGTATTCATGATAATAAACAGTAATTCTGAAATTCAGAGCTTTACAAGGTCAGATGCATTACAGGGTAAATGTATCATATTTTGCCTTCTGCTTTTATTCTGTTTCCAATACGACTGACTGGATAGGAAAAAAGTATATGCTGTGTTGCTAACAATATGAATTGCAAAGTAACAGTTTTTGTACTTGCCCTTTGGCAGAAAAGTATAACTAACAGTTTGACATTCAATACTAAGCAATAGGAGTTTTTTCTGCCATTCCCTTTCTGGAGTTTTATAGCAGAAATCATCTGCATATGTTTTCCCATTTTTTTTATGTAAAGGACTGGCTTCTTGCTCAACCTGAAAAAATTATGTGGCTTTAATGCTTGTTCTCTGAAAGTAGTTATTAACATAGGTATTCACACAGGCTTGGAACACTCTGCAGCTGATGTTCTAAGCTATTAAACAGTCTCATCAGCAGGTGGCCCACATCTATTTAAAATCTAAGTATAATTGTCAAAAAGTGTCTCAATTAAATTCCATAGTGCCAAACTTATAACTGAGTGTATTGCCAGCTTCCACAGGGAAATGAGGTGGGTTAATGAAGGCTTATGATTAATACCTCCAAAGAACATGCTTATAGGTAAGTAATTTTCTTCTCTTACAAAGAAAAAGAATCATTATAAACAGATCCAGGTTCTTACAGACTACAAAAACTAATATACAGCATTACAGTGGATCAGATTAAAGTAAAAAAAGTCACAAATATCATTGGACAAAAAGTAGATGCCTCCCAAGTTAAATAGCGACATAGCATCCCTGAGAAGTATTAAGATTGCTATTTTTATATTAGAAGAATAAAATGCACCTAATAAATACATTAGAACTAACATCTAAAGACCTCTTAGGGGGGCGAAAAAGTCAGCTGGGCCATGCAATCCAGAAACAGGTTTTAATAGAGACTGGATTCAAGATAACCATCTAAAACAATATTTTACAAATATACATGAAGAACTGTATTGAGGTTTCTCCAAAGTGAACCAAAGGCCATCCAATGTCACTGACATGCTTCTTATTTCATGAGCTTTAACATGACACTGATGTTCGGAGAAATACAGTCAATCATACATCTAGAGATGGGGTACGTCTACACTGAGATTAAAAAAAACCCACAGCACCAAGTCTCAGAGCCAGGTCAGTTGACAGGCTTGGGGGGGGCGGGGGGGGAAGGGGCTATGAAATCGCAGCGTGGATGTTCAGGCTTGGGCTGGAGCCCAAATGTCTACAATGCAATTTTATAGCCCCATACCTTGCACCCCATGAGCACAAGTCAACTGACCTGGGCCAGCCACAGCTGTGCCATAGATCTATTATCACAGTGCAGACATACCTTGAACGTTAACCCAATGCATACAATCAACAAAAAAGTGCATTAAATCGAAGTATTTTTATTTGTTCCAGATAATGCCCAGTTTGTGAACTGTGGAATCAGAATGGGCATGAGGGTATGGAAAATATGTTTACTGAGTATAGTGGAACTGCAACATCATATCTGGAAAGAAGAGTATGCTTTCTTACCCACTGAATCTTTGAAACATCTTAGTCATAGACAAGAGCCTGAGCTCACTCAGATTCTCACAGATGCAATGCTAAATATAAAGGGGCAGATATTTGATTTAGAACAAGTTTTAGGAATGTCAAGTCTCATATGACTCCTCTTATCACCAGCATGTGTGTAGCATGGACTAATAGAGGGACAGAGTCTTTCAAGTGTAGAATTGTGCTGCATGACCTCCAAAACCCAAGATTTCAGGTTCATCAATCTGGAAAATGCCTAAGGTTCTATAATCTTTTGATTTCTCCCACTTTAGCTTCTCAGTGAAAGAAAGTACAGCGGCATGTACAAAGTCGAACATCAGCTGCATCATCCTTCACAATACCTACTAACTCAGTTTTAGATCTATGAGGCTTTTGGCTTCTGAATGGGGAAGAGCTGGCTTGTGACTCTTTTCTAGGAAGGATCATATGCATTCAATGCATCACAGTTGTTTCAAAAAAGAATACGTTGGGGCTATTAGTAGAAACTCTAAAACTTCTTGCACCACAATGGTAATATGAAGAAAGACTCCTGATTCCTTTCCCAGTGCCATCTTTTATTACAGAATTGTTCTGCTAGAGCAGTGGTTCTTTGCGTATTTGTGAGCTGGTAGTATTTGGAAGCCTGTTAGCATTATTGTCTACTGTATTTTAGTTACTGTGAATTTTAAGTTATTTTTTAAAAAATGTTCAGCGCAAAGCACTTTGGACTGCTACAAACAAAAATAAGGAGCTTGTAATGCCAAACCACCTATGAAACAAAATGAACACATTCTATAGATAGTACACCACAAGGCACATCCTCGTTCAGTATCAGGAATAACAGTCGCCAGAAACTGACCCAGGAACTAATAATGAGCGAAAGTGAATGAAGTAGTTAAGTCTTGCAGTGTGTTTTATGGAAGGATTAATGTAACCTTCAAGTCACTGCTGTCACAGAGAACACAGAAACTGATCACGGTTTTAATGTAAACACCATAAAATGTTTTGTTTACTTGCACTGATGTAACATACAGGCAGAAACTGCATCTCAAATTATTTTTAAAGAATCAGGAAGGAAACAAATGTTGCTGGTCATATGGTCAAGGTCTAAAAAGTACATCATAGGTGACAATAATAGAATCATAGAATATCAGGGTTGGAAGGGACCTCAGGAGGTCATCTAGTCCAACCCCCCGTGCTCAAAGCAGGACCAATCCCCAACTAAATCATCCCAACCAGGGCTTTGTCAAGCCTGACCTTAAAAACCTCTAAGAAAGGAGATTCCACCACCTCCCTAGGTAACCCATTCCAGTGCTTCATCACCCTCCTAGAGAAAATTTTTTTCCTAATATCCAACCTAAACCTCCCCCTCTGCAACTTGAGACCATTATTCCCTATTCCGTCATCTGGTACCACTGAGAACAGTCTAGATCCATCCTCTTCGGAACCCCCTTTCAGGTAGCTGAAAGCAGCTATCATATCCCCCCTCATTCTTTTCTTCTGCAGACTAAATAATCCCAGTTCCCTCAGCCTCCCTCATAAGTCATGTGCTCCAGCCCCCTAATCATTTTTTGTTGCCCTCCACTGGACTCTTTCCAATTTTTCCACATCCTTCTTGTAGTGTGGGGCCCAAAACTGGACACAGTACTCCAGATGAGGCTTCACCAATGGAGAACAGAGGGGAATGATCACGCTCCTCAATCTGCTGACAATGCTCCTATTTATACAGCCCAAAATGCCGTTAGCCTTCTTGGCAAGAAAGGCACACTGTTGACTCATATCCAGCTTCGCGTCCACTGTGACCCCTAGGTCCTTTACTGCAGAACTGCTGCCTAGCCACTTGGTCCCTAGTCTGTAGCAGTGCATGGGATTCTTCCATCCTAAGTGCAGGATTCTGTACTTGTCCTTGTTGAACCTCATCAGATTTCTTTTGGCCCAATCCTCCAATTTGTCTAGGTCACACTGTATCCTATCCCCACCCTCCAGCGTATCTACCAATCCTCCCAGTTTAGTGTCATCTGCAAACTTGCTGAGCGTGCAATCCATGCCATCCTCCAGATCATTAATGAAGATATTGAACAAAACCAGCCCCAGGACCGACCCTTGGGGCACTCTGCTAAATACCGGCTGCCCACTAGACATGGAGCCATTGATCACTACACGTTGAGCCCGATGATCTAGCCAGTTTTCTATCCACCTTATAGTCCATTCATCCAGCCCATTCTTCCTTAACTTGCTGGCAAGAATGTTGTGGGAGACCGTATCAAAAGCTTTGCTAAAGTCAAGGAGTAACATATCCACTGCTTTCCCCTCATCCACAGAGCCAGTTATCTTGTTATAGAAGGCAATTAGGTTAGTCAGGTATGACTTGCCCTTGGTGAATCCATGCTGGCTGTTCCTGATCATTTTCCTCTCCTCGAAGTGCTTCAGAATTGATTCCTTGAAGACTTGCTCCACGATTTTTCCAATAACATTGTAAGATCTAACTCATATACATTCAGATAAACAGAACTAGGAAGACCATCTGTAACAGTGCCACGTGCGACTCCCAACAGAGTTAGTACTATCAAAATCTCCCCATAAAAATTGGAAACATGTTTGTCAAAGTGCTGCCAAAGAACTAATTCTGTTGTAAGTGCACCAAAGTAGATGGATCTCATACAAAACTTTGACTCCCAAGAGGGCAGACACTCAATTCTGTAGCCTTTAAACACTTCAAGGCATTTCATACCAATAAAGATCCAAACTCAAAGAAAAACTAGGATGTCTAAAAAGAAACTTGACCAAAATGAGATAAAAAGAAAGACCCCTTGATAAAAAATTTGGAAAAAAAATCCTTGATCAAAAATTAATATGGGACCGACTGACAATACGAAGAGTTGCACAATCATTTCTTTAAAAAGTGACATACAAAGCTGCAACTTTAAAGTGGAGCTCATGAGTTCAAATACTAACTGATGATGAAAAATTTACCGTCTATTTGCCTCAACAACAAGTAAGTGTACGCCACCTGCTGGTAAAGCAGTTTAACAGTTCATAAGTTTAGCTATTACAAACATTGAAATCTATCTCCCCTTGTAAGTATT